TAGTTAAATATATGTATATATATGCTTTGATCTAATAAAGATACCGGCGAGGCTGCCGATAATTGGAAAAAAAAATATATATATATATTTCGAAAATATCTAAAACTTACAAAAATTTTAAATATTACTAACAAAGAGCAAGGAATTGAAGATGATTTGTAATTTTTTTTTATTTAAATAACGTTACTTTTTTCTTTTATTTTTTTTTTAGAAATTTAGAAATTTTGTTTTTGTTTTTTTTATTTTATATATTATGATAATAAAAATAAATAAATTTGCATTTATTAAAAATATTCAAAAGAGTAGGATATAAATTAAAAATGAATAAAGTTTGGGCCTCGTAGCTTACTGGTTAAGCTCCAAAACCTACAGACAAGGTCGACGATTCGAGTCGGGCTGGTAGCAAATTTTCAAATTTGTTACTGTAACCTTAAATGGAGCTATAATCGGATGCGAAGCCCTGTGGAAAGTCCAAATGCAAGTATGGTTTTGGAATAGGAATTCTCAGAAAGAGCCCTGATCATCAGTATTAGCATATGACCTATTATGACCTCTATGACCCTTATGACCAGTTATAGGTTATAAGGTTATAAAAATAGCAATATAACTTATGACCTTAGTCATAATTCTACCCAATAGAAATTACTTTGAATGATATATGTATAAAAACTTGCAAATATCTCTATATATATGAGTTCTGCCAAAGAAAAATGTCTCTTCAGACTTTCAATTGCATTTTAACCAAACACAATTCTTAATAAATCAAATAAAATGTGTCTGGTTAAAATGTAATTGAAAGTCCGAAGGGAAATTTTCCCTTGGCAGCACTCTTATGTAATACACAGGTTTCATAATACAATGAGTAAATAATCTTGCACATAATTCGTATAATATGCATTAACACATTTTATTTTAGGGATATTTTTTACTTTTTGATTTACATGCAAAAATTTTTTGTACGTATAATGTACTCTGTTGAATAAGGTAATTGTATCTTCATAAAATTTTTAGTATTTCGCTAACAATATTTAAATTTAAATTTTGAAATTTAAAATAACTAATGATATATGTTAAATTGAAGACAATGTTTATTTATATAATATATATTAAATTCACCACTATATATCCTAATTAATACCTTATTCACGTCTTTCAATACTAATTCTCCTAGCACTTTCTATTTCAACAACCAATGCCATGAGTATTTCTCATTTCAATAGTTAATAAATACTTTATACACTAGCATTCCATTATGAATTCACCTTTTTGATTCACCTTTTCAATCCAATTTCATAAACATTTCCAGTTTCTACAGATTTTGATAATGGATGTTGACTTATGTATATTTTTTTTTATATTTTTATTTTTTTAGTTTTTTTTTAGTTTTTTTTTAATTTTTTTTTAGTTTTTGTATGAATACTTTAAGTTTATATTTTTAATAATGAAGTAACTTCTAAGTCAAAATATTGTAGTACTTCTAAGGAAGAAATGAAAAGTGAATCTAAAGACCATTTTGCTGTCTCGTCATCGGCTGGATGCTTTTTTTATTCCCCAAAACCAAAATCTGTGTCCCAATCATTTGTTAATAAAATTTAATCACCTTGGTTTTCAAATTGGTTTTCACGTTTTCCAAGTTCAATCTATTCGTTAATTGTATTTTCCCATTGTTGTTCTTCTTCTGTAACTAAATCTTCATCTTCTAAATTTTGATTCGTCCAATTGCTAGACCCGGTGGCTGCTTCCTTAATATTACTAAACTCAGCAGCTGCTTTCTCAACATTACTAAATCTAGTAGCTGCTTTCTCAATATTACTAGACCCAATATCTGCTTTCTCAACATTACTAAAACTGGTAGCTCCTTCCTCAACATTATTTCCATCTTCATTATCGCTCACTTGATAATCCAAATCAGTAATAGTTGGTTCTTCAATAGGTTCATCATCTGATGATATAGGTGTTGCAATATGTAGAAGACAAATACGATTAATATATTCTTTTGCATTTTTGATTTTGTGGGAATGAAGAATATCACTCCGAATTTTGCTCATTGCCAAAACCTTTTCTAACTACAATATCGATCAAGTATGTAAATAAAAATAAATAAGATTATTCATTATCGACAAATTTTCCTATAAAATATTAAACAAATGCACTTTTCTAAAGTTATTCAGAAATATTTATTATAAAACATGCCTATGGTAGTTTTGTACCTATTATATGTTTTTATTTTACTTTATAAAAATTTCAAAGTTTTTAGAAGTTTTGTATATCAAAATTTTAATACAAATTTTTTTCATATATTAGAGTTAGAATTAGAGCTTAGGAAGGGTTTTGGAAGTGTAAAACATTTTTACTTAGAGCACTCCATATGACTAATTAGCCAGTTAAGATAATATTTATATAGATATAAAACACCATAGGTGCGGTTTAGTAAAAGTTATTTAGAAGTTACAAGCCTATATCACAAGAAAAGTGCAAAATGCTTACTAATTTAGTATATTTGTATATGTAATAGGGATTTCAAAATTAAAATGTGGAAATCTAATTTTAATTGAAATTGGTTATAAATTTATTTTCAAATAAGCATGTATCAACTTTATTTCATTTTTTGATAAATTTGAAATGATTTTTGTCATTAAAAAGTCTATTTATTTCGTTAAATAGGGATCTCCAGACATTCCTATTTCATTTTTCGATTTTAAAATTTTTGAAATACAAATAAGATTTTTCAAACTCTTATTTAATTTCAAATGCACCACTCATTTGTTAACTTTGAAATCCTCTAATAGATAAAAAAAAAAATAACTATTATTAATTAAACCTGTAGCTGGTTTTGACGATTAGTATGTAATAATCCCATTGAAGACTACAAACGTTCTACAGATGCAGAGTTGACACAGATACCATGAATACGAATCGCTACTCGAGCTAATTCTGGGCCTATTCCTTCAGTTGATTCCCAAAAATCTACTAAATTTCTATTAAATTATACAAACAAGCCAATATCATATGGATTAATTCTCCTTTTATATTGTATTAATTCAGATAAAATAGAGGTAGGTTTAGAATCAAACCACACCTTATAATAATATTTAAGCCATTGCCTAATATGAGTCCAAGAAAAGTTAGCAACCATAGTATTAAATTTTGTAAGTTTATATTGAGCATGTAGCGCAAAAAAAAGTAGTAATAGTGGTTGCTTCCATTCATTCCAACGTGATTCGATACACCTTTTCATTCTTGCTCTGAATTCAATATCCTGATGATATTCAAACATTTTCATCATATACCCAAAACAATGAAAAACTTCATATAATCGAGCCGTATCTTTTTGCAATTTGTTCAAAAAGCCACAAAGAAGATACATAAGTTCTTGTAGATCAGATAATATTATCCAAAATTGAGTATCATTTATAATATCTGCGATATTGTCTGGAAGTTTTCTGGTACCATTATGCAGTGTTGACCGATTATTTGCTAGTACAGACAGAATACCATTTGTTTGAATTACATTGTCACAATTATTATTAAATTTGGCAGAGAGAAACTAATTATCATTTTAGATGAATAATTATATTAATGAAATCTTTTAATAAGGCAGCACAGGGTTAATTTCTTAGTTTTTATAAGAACCAGGCTTTTTATTTTATACAGTATTATAAAATTTTTTTAAAAAAAAAACTTATATATGTTGTGTGTCAAATTAAAATCTGTGTTAAGTTAAAATTATTATAATTTCGCTAATACCTAAGCACCCACCCTAATTTTAAAAGACTCCTCATTTAAATTTTGATTTTAATCTGATGTACGACATATAAATAATTTTTTTGAAATTAATATTTTAGTCCCATGAAGAAGTAATCTAAAGTATATTATTGTCACTAAATATATATTAGCTTTCTTATTATCTTACAATATCAATTTCAGCTATATATATTTCACTAACCAATATTACCAAAATGTTTTTCAATTTTTTATTTGAAAGATTTATATATATTACAAAGTTTACTAAAAAAAGAGCGATTTACCTATAACCCTGGCTCTCTAACCTTAATAAATAGCTTGGTAATATTGATCGTTAAAATTACTCAAGTAAAAACATATTTTGAGAGCGGATTTTGTTTTCAAAATAAAATAAAAACAAAAATAATAAGAATTCCATCTTGTATCTCCAGGCCTTATTAATGCGACAGACTTCTTATAAATCCGCATTTGTTCATCTCTAAGATTCCTATAAAAAAAAATAATTCTTATTGCTTTTTTAGAAATCTTTTGGTATTGAATAGATTCTTTAAAAACATCTCCAAAGGATTAAATGTAGTATAGCTTATCTCTTTTAAAAAACATATTAAATTAGTCATTTTATATTGTTATTTTTATTATATTTATATTGTAATTAATATTTTAATTGATATTAAAAAACTAATTTAAAATTTTGTATTATAATAT